CGCGCAGAAACCGAGTGGTGTAGCAATATCATTGATACCGCTGTGAGCTTGAGCTAGGCTATGATTTGCCAGGCTTGTATCCGTTATTAAAACATTGTAACATGTTTGAGAAAGTTGCATCTTTTGCATATTAATGTCAAATCAAACTGCGCTTTGCCATTCAATATGAAGCTTCACCCGTGCCACTTCATCTGTCAAGTGCATTCACCAGCATGATGTGGAAGCTTAACAGTTAATAGCAAAACCGATCAGTGATAACATCGATCGTTATCCTCTTATCAGTTGATTAAAAAGTTTTCACTTTGACTAGAAAGAGAGTTTGACCTATGAGGGATTGAATGAGTTTGCATGAAAGTCTACATTTGATCCATGCAAATGATCACTTCTGAGCCATTGTCATTAAATTATTTGCAGCATAAAATTTTAAACTTAATCAAATTCACTAAAAATTTCCTAACAATACAGTGAATTGTGGATGGCTGAATTGCAGATGTTTATCCTGGTATTATACTCACAGCTCTGATGGCTCTGGCTGCAATGTATACCGCAGTTGTGATCGGTGACGGATGGGTGATCATGCAGAGACGTTGGCCACAATATCGTGTGCACTGTCGTAAACCGTACGCTGAAATGGGTTATCGATCTATGGGTTCGACTATGAAGTGAGCATCAGTGAATCTGAATGAATAAATCAGCAACTGAAATTAAAGATACTGTTGAGACGAACAAACGATGCATTAATATGGTTAAATTTGTTGGATATCCACTTCAAAACACCAGTGCAATAGCTAATTTTCCAACTTTTCAGGCATGTAGTGTCCGCATCGATTGTACTAACGCAGTTCGGTACTGCCGTTGTATTTTTGTTGTTATCATCGAAGAATATCGGTGATTTCCTGCAAGCATTTTTCGGTGTTCATGTCTCATACTGTATCTTGATCATTATCGTTGGTATTTCACTACTTCCGTTACTCTTTCTGAAGTCACCACAAGATTTCTGGTATGTTCGTTCCTCGACTATTTGTAACTTTTACAGCAGTCACTTGGCTCGATTCACTTTCATTTCTGAGAGAAACTCAATTGTCTTTATTGTATAACTATCTTAAAACGGTTCTATTGCTAGCGATTGTTCCAGCATGACAAACTAAACAGACTGTAAAAATGATGAGCCAAATTTGGTTCACTCATTACTGACTATCACAAATGAATGAAAATCCTCCAGTGGATAATCTGACAAGCATTAAGTTAGGTGATCAATCTGCAGGTGGGCCGTAGTTGCAGCAATGATAACAACAACCGGAGCGTTGATTCTGCTGGTGATTGGTGCCGGAATTGATTTTCCACTATGCCATCCGGTTAGGGGCGAGAATGAGAAATCTGTACCTACCAACTATTTCCTCGGTCTGGGCACACTTCTGTTCTCGTTCGGTGGACATGCGGCATTCCCGACAATTGTGAACGATATGAAGAAGCCAAGTCATTTCGCACGCTCATCAATTTTTGCCTTCGGAGGTGCGTGTGAATTTTGTCTAAAGATGTCATCCCACCAATTTTTAATGATTAAACAGCCTAAAGAAAACACTTTTCTTTAAATTCATTGATTCGTTGCGAATGAATAAATAAATGTTTTTCAGCTGCCGGTTGCATGTACATTCCCGTATCAGTGATTGCCTACGTCGTATACGGCAATTCAGTTCGTGATTCCGTGATCAATTCGATTCAAAACACCGGTCTGCAACAAGCCGTCAACATTCTCATCACTTTGCACTGTCTGCTCGCTTTAACGATCATTTTCAATCCGCTCAATCAAGAGGCTGAAGAGCTATTCAACGTACCGCACAGTTAGTGATCACTTCTATTGAGTTCGTTCGATCACTATTCAACAAAATTGAAAGTGAATTCACTAAAAAGCTTCTACACATCCACAAATTTGCTACTATCGAACTTGTTGGTAATCCGACTCGCAGTTGTGATTATGTTCTGTCATTAAGTGATATTTTGAAGCAATCCGATCTCAGATTCTATTCTCGCCATGCTTTGTTTGCTATTGCTACAATTATTGCTGGAACAGTTTCCGAACAACGTATTGAGTTAAATTGGCTGAATAGTTAAGTGTGATTGAAAATTGATTGAGTTTGACGATCGTTTTGCAAATGAAGTCAATACAGATCGCGGAATAGATATTCAGCTGGTCACTCTTAAAAATATACAGGCACTTGGTTCGTTGTTTTATCT